GGTGCCAGAGAATGCCAGACAAGTAACAAATATTAAAAAATATTAAGATTTAGACTCCTCCTTTATCCGAAACTATCCGAGAGTTTTGAATCGGTTTATTTTATCGGTTACGGATGTTTTTTTATTTCGGATATCGATTCCGGTTGGGGGCATCGATATGTGCACATCTTGATCCGCGTCACCATGCCGCTGCCGCGCTGCGGTAACGCACACTAGGTTTACAGATAGTATGGCCTGAAGAAAAATAAAACTTACTATATTTTGTTGATTCTGGGCAGCACTTGGTCTAAACCCTGGAAAATACTTACTATACTTATTTCTATGTGAAAAATAAAATAAAATCTAATATTTAACTGTAATAAACATTTAATTACATTAACAACATAAGTACCTACATTTTAACAGATTTGATACATAAAAACCAGTCTACTTCATTTTTTTTGACAACACATTGAAACTGTCATAAAAATTAAACAACTCTGAGAACTATGAACAATGAGCTCCACAATAACCAAAGCCTTAGGCCGGTCTGAAACAGTCGTTTACAATATGAGCTTATCAGCTAGACAAGGATACTAGTGGTCCATGTGTCAAGCACATTATTGAACATTGAGAGTAGGCTCACACCGTTGATAGTTGTTACTTGATAAGTTGCCCGAGTTTTAGTTTTAGTTGGCCGATAGTTGTGCCCGATTTCAAATTGTATGAAGAATCGGCCAAATCGAATCGGCGTAGTGTGCACACTCCCACACATGCCCATACTGATCAACAGCCCGACTAAACTATCGGCCGACGAAAAATCAACGGTGTGCGCCTACTCTGAACGAGAGACAAACATAAAGGACATCATCCATTTTGGTCCAAAATCAAAAGTGCCGGCCAAAAAATAAAAGTGCTGTTAGCTCTAAAAATATATGAAACGACTGACTTTGATCTCAAATACTACGATGCACAGTGGTGCTACAGCTTTGGTGTCATAGTAACAAATACTAAGGCGGACGTATTCTGTCAGAATACAGCACTTTTTGTTATAGGCCGACACTTTTGATTTTGAACAAAAAATGTATGAATCGTCGATGAATTTTAGATCTCAAATACTCGACGCATAGTGGTGCTATAGCTTTGGTGCCATAGTAACAAATGCTAAGGCGGACGTATTCTGTCAGAACACAGCACTTTTTTCTTTATTGGCCGACACTTTTGATTTTGAACAAAAAATGTATGAATAAATCGATGACTTTTAGATCTCAAATACTCGACGCACAGTGGAGCTACGGCTTTGGTGCCATAGTAACAAATGCTAAGGCAGACGTATTCTGTCAGAATACAGCACTTTTTATTTTGGACCAAAAATATATGAAACGTGGATGATGTCCTTTGTCGTTTTTGCTTACAAATTAGTAGTTACACGAAATTGATTTCTACATGTTTATAATTGACTAGCGGCCGCCCGCGACTTCGTACGCGTGGATCCCGTTTTACCCCCTTTTCCCGAATTTTCTTTGCTATAAACCTCACGGAGCTCGAGACCTTTCCAACGAATGCAAAACCGTGGAAATCGGTTCGTGCGTTCTGGAGTTATAGCGTCAGGGAGGAAAACCCGACTTATTTTTATATAAGTAGTAGATAAAGCCCGGTCTGTGAGCACGTAGAATTTTGTCCAATGACCCCAACACATACTTAGTTGGAAAATTTCAGAAGATATACAATATAAATTATTATAATTACATTTGTTTTTTATTGATCTGCATCGTTCATTTAAAAATATTCAAGCTGTGACGTCACTTTACTACTTCACTTTGCGAATGCAAACAGACTTTCACAGATGATTAACAATTTACTTAATTTGTATAAAAAAAATATTTCTATTGCATATACTTAAATTAAATAGAAAACTTTTAATGAGGTAGGCAACTAAGGATATAAAAGAAGGATGCAAAGAATATAAGAGGTTTCGACTTCCAGTTTCTATTTTAAAATAACGAGATCTGCAATCTTGAATTGAACTAAGAAAATAACAAAATGAAATTATCTTTTTCTCCCATTTATACAGGGTGGATTTTTGTAATGCCACCTGAAGGGAAAGTAAAGAAAGCAAGTGGATAGATAATTTTACTCAAAGAAAAAAATCCTTTATTTAAAAAAAAAACTAAGTAGAACTGCATTAAAATATTTCCAAAAATTTGCTTGCTGTAGCTTGTGTGTGTACACGGGAATCGAACCAACTAAAATCTGTTAAAAATTACACCTTGTATTTTTATTGCATCGATCGTTAGAGTTAAGTTTAAGGATGAAATCTCTCTAACAAACTTGATAAATCAAATGAAAAATCTTAAATTATTTTAATTATTTACAGAAAATGTATGGTAATAGAATGGTAAATAAATGGTATAGTGGTGAAATTTCGAAAAAAAAAATCGAACATCTTTGAATGCAGTTCTCTTTCTTTTCAAAAATAAAGGAATGTTTTCTTTGAGTAAAAAATGTAGATAATCTTTCCATGTGGTATTACAAAATTCCACTCTGTATAATATACAACAAAATTAAACACTTCCGTTCATCGCTAGACAAAAAACAAAGCAGCAGCAGTCCTGATAAGAAATGGATGGACAATTATTGTATACATACTAGGGCATGTAATATCGGAAGGTTTTCAATTCCGATATTNATACATACAGGGTGTAGTTTTGTAAAACAACACCCATCTCAGGGGTGGTAGTATACAATACACGACACTGATGCCAAAAAAAGTATAAAAAAATATATTTTAAATTTTCATGGAAAAATCCATGAAATCAGGAAAATTGTACTATTATGCGGGCGAGCTATCGGACAGGCCCACCGCTCTCCCGGGGCGGCGGCCGCATGCACTCGGTGGTGTAGCGGGGTACGCGGAGGTGGTGCGGGCGGTAACAAGTGCCATCTTGAAAGTTTTAGGAGATGTTTGAACAGTACACACACATGATATCGTAGTTTATTATTTTAATAAAAAACACTTAATATTGTGTGGCTGGCATAATCGAGTGAGATACCTTATCATTTCCACCCTGTATAAACTTACAAGTTGTCACTCAATGTAAGCAATTAAATACCATATAAAAAAAAACAGTGTCCTATGAATAGTCCACTCAAAAAAGCAGCTGTAGAGTTCGTGAACCTAAGCAATTTCTTCAGAAATCGGTATAGTACTAAGTCCCCGCCTCTATGGAGAGAGCCGGAGTGGGGGTTGAAGTTCCCACTTTTGAATTTTTTGCTAATATCTTTAAAAGGGTGCTTCATAGAGAAAACATATCTATGACGCAATGAACGCTAATAACATTTTCTAGCTAGATCTTGTATCCTAAACACTTTCCTCCTTAGTAATAAAAAGTTACAAAGTTGTTGAACACTGTTTTAAAATGACATTTCCATACTAAACGTCACTTTAAAACACTGTTAAACGAGCGTGTCAGTTTTATTAGTAAGGGGGTTTGTTTTTAAAATTCCTACCCACTTTCGAACTAATATCGGGAAAGTGAAAATTTTACGCAAAAACTACTGAACGGTTTTGATGAAACTTTACAGTAGGTAATATTGTATAAATAAACAATATTGTATAATCAGAACAACATAAATAGGCTATAATTTATAACGATTTGTGACAAGCTAAATATCACGCGAGAAATAAGGATTTTCCCGCTAATTCCTGTTCCCGTGGGAATTCCTAAGTAAACTAAGTATAACTTGCCCAGGTGTATGAAGAATAATTGTACTAAGTTTCGTTAAAATCCGTCGAGTAGTTTTTATTTCTATAAGGAACATACAGACGGACAGACAGACAGACAAAAATTTTACTGATTGCATTTTTGGCATCAGTATCGATCACTAATCACCCCCTGATAGTTATTTTGAAAATATATTTCATGTATAGAATTCTGTCCGTCTGTATGTTCCTTATATGTAGAAACAAAAACTACTCGACGGATTTTAACGAAACTTGGTACAATTATTCTTCATACACCTGGGCAGGTTATAGTATACTTAGGAATTCCCACGGGGACAGGAATTAGCGGGAAAATCCTTTTGTATGAAAAATCTAAACCGCTTAAGTAGACCTGAAGTGATGCAGTGACCGCGCGCTCTCCGCCCTCTATCTCGAAAACGGTTCACCGTATAAAAAAAGTTTTTAAACAAAATTTGTAGAGAATTTAGTATTCTACAATATTGATAATAAATACAAATAGCAAAAAACCCATAGGAAATGAGATTTTCCTAAAAAAAGCGCAAAAAACCGATTTTTGTGACCGTTGACCTTGAAATTTAATAGTTGCTTACACCCTACCATATGTAGGTTATGAGACAACTTTTAGGGTGTCAATATACACGTATTTACAGACTTACAGCTGGGTATCTCGAATTCCGAGGTGAACTTACTATAATGACTGGACTAAATGGTGTTAAATCACAACATCTTGTCCACGACGCCGATTTGAGATTCCTGGATTAATTGTCACCGATACTCACGCACTGCTTCGATATTGACATTTTAACGGCTTGTTTTTGGAAGAACAGTGTGTTTGACGTCTCCAACAGATCCTGTCTCCAGGAATTTCTCAATTCTCAATCTTTTCACAATTCACGAAGTTAAATCACTATTTCGACCATATTTTGTATGAAATTTTCGAATTGCGGACGAAGACAGGTTGTTCTATTGTGTACCTAACGCTACATTTTTTGTAACCCTAAACTATCAGCTGTCTATTTGTTTTATTTTTAGGGTTGTCAACACTTTATTGAATAAATTGTAGCAAAAAGTTTCGTTAATTTTGGGACACCCTTTATTAGCAAAAAACTCACTCAACTCTATATTATTATTACGTAGGTACTAGTGGCCGGCCGCGACTTCGTAGTTCGTATGCGTGGATCCCGTTTTACCCCCTTAGGGATGGAGTTTCGTAAAATTCTTAGCGGATGCCTACGTCATAACATCTACTTGCATACCAAATTTTTAATATCAGCCCGATCCGTCCAGTGGTTTGGGCTGTGCGTTGATGGATCACTATATCAGTCAATCAGTCACCTTTGATTTATGTTATACATAAGTATGTTGCAGTCAAAACAACTTCTAAGTACAAAAAATCTGCTAAAAGTGGTTTTGCCTGATTGAAAACTTTACCAATCAGTCAAAATTCATAAATAGTGTCATGATTAGTGAAAATTACTTATATGGGAATCATTAAACATGTGTTAAAAATAATTTTAAAGTGTAAAATTTTTGTGATTGTGCATACAAAATGATCACACCTAACTTTGGTACAATATGTAATAGTACATAATGCTGCCAGGTATTCGTCAGGTAAAAGGTAGGATTATTAATTTGTTCGGTCAGTTAGTTAAATAAAATGTTTTGCACTCAAAAGTGGTTTTGACTAACATTCTTGGTTAAAACCACTTTTGACTGATTTTTCCAGTCATCAAAAGGCCATCGGTTAAAAGTGCAGTTGCAGTCAAAAGTGGTTTTGACCTATTATGAGTTTTGACTGTAACATAATATATTATTAATATTTAGATTCTGTGCTCAACCCTCTCCCTCCACTCCGCCCCCGATAGAGGTGGGGACTTTTTGTATGTTTACTCTCTAAGTATTCTGAACCAATTTCTGAAGAAATTGCTTGGGTACCAGTTCACGCAGTCTACTCTACAGTCTACTCCTTCTTTTTGGTCACTTTTTGAGTGTCCTTGTAAAGTTTTTTGTGATAAGGCCCGAAACACGTGAAAGTGCAAAGCGCTTTATTGCACCCGTAGCAGTACGTTGTGACGCGCTTTTCGCATTCGACGCAGTTGCGCCGGTATCGGTGGCCGCTTTTATTGTGCTCGGCCAAGACGTACTGTTTCGGGTAGTGCTCGAAAACTTGTGGGTCACTGACTGGTTTACTGTCTGTATTTATGGGCGAAGGCCTGGTTCTGGTTTGTGGAGAATGCCGTGATATTAACTCATTCACTAAAGTTTTACGAAAATTTCGGTGAGTAGTTGTATGTTCAGATTTGAATAGTATGTAGGCATTTAATGTGCTTACATTCAGTAGCCGTCTGAAAAACTTCTTGTACCAGACGGCCGTCCGCTTTCTTTCTATGGGGTACACGGATAACATTTGGTCCTTGCGATCGACCCCCCCCATGCAGATATTGTAATCAGATACCACCGTGGGCTTCAGTATGCCACCACACTTCACAGTTGCTAGCCCATGGTATGTCGAGATAAGAGATACGTATTTCTTATCTCGCCAAACTATGAGATCCACATCCCCTGAAGTGCAGCCACACAGCTGATTGATAGCCATTTTCCCATTTGTCAGTTCCCTGGGAACTAACTGACGGTTGGTCCGTAGCGTCCCTGCGCAGTCGAACCCACGGCACTTTAATTCCCGCGCGAGTGCAGGGGAATTATAAAAGTTGTCCATCCATACTGTATGGCCTCTGTGTTCGAGGCCCTTTAATAGCCGTAGGACTAATGCGGGTATGACTCCAGAAACCGGAGAGGCTTGTGCGTTTGAGCACTCTTCGTGTCTTGTGTGGACCTCGAAACGCCACAAGTATCCGGACTTGGACTCACAAATCTCGTACGTTTTGATGCCGACTGCTGCGGCTTTGTTATTGATGAACTGATTTATATCCAACCAACCCTTCCACATAGTCAAACTTTCGTCTAGTGCTATATTTTGATCCATATTGTATAAATTTGAGAATTTGTGATTGAGGTGATCTAGAACAGGCTGCAACTTAAATAATTTTGCCTGACTGCGGGTAAATGAAGCGGGTTTGAAAGTCTCGTTATTTTGAAAGTGAAGACACCTGCTCAACAGCAAGAAGCGATCAAGAAACATCGCCGTGGTGAACTCTGGAGTAATGAAAACGTCACGTGTACCATTCCAGTACTCTTCAAGACGTGTTTTCACTACAATCCCAGTGGCTAGGATTATTGCGAAATACACGTAGAGTTCATCCACCGTCGTGTCCACCCATTTTGTGATCCTACTCTGAGGATACAAAGTGTTGGACTGGATCATAATCGCCGCAAGCTGTTGGGCATATCGGTTTGTCTCCACAGCAATGTGCTCCATGATTTGCCGATCCCAAATGGCGATGAATGCGTCATATGGAGTGGCAAATGAAGTAGTGGCTCCACACATAATGTTGGAAAACGGTTCCCTCCTTACCTCTGGTTCGATTTGGGGTTGTGGGAACGCTCTCCACTGGAAGTCAAACTTATCTATGTTTGATGTTGCTAATGGGTCAGGTAATGGGGCCGCTGACTGATCCTCAGGTGGCGTGGCGGGCTCTACGGATCCTGAAGTCGGGGGTGGAGGCGGCCATGCGAAATTCAGGTTCGCTGGGACGGTTCCTTCTTCGTCATGTTCGTCCTCGAGAAACACTCGAACCGTTCGCGGGATAGGTAGCTGTACGGTGTCCTCATCATCTTCCGCGTCTTCTTCGTCACTGCTACCTATTTAAAACAATTAAACGACATATTTAGGAAAAATTGCCATCTGTTAGTAGATTTGATGAAAACTAAAATTAACTTACCATAGAATAGGTGCTCTATACTCTTTTGCTCCTGATCCTGGTCCTGTAGTAGCTGCCTGTAAAATTTGATGCTAGTTAATATCGAACAATATACATAACTAGAACAACATTATTGTTACAATTGAATATTTTCCTAAATATACTTACATACGATGTTTGGTAGCTCTTGTCGCCCTTGGCGTGGATGATCCATCTCCCGTTTTCCGAGGGGTGGATGTTCCACTCCCACCACTTTCTACGTCTCTATAATAAAGAAATTTAATTACCTACCATATAAAACTAAAAAAAAAATGTTGGTTACAAAACTATACTTATTGTAAGTATAGACCGACGATGAAGTCACTGAAGACTCGGACGTGGCAACCAACAGCTCGCTTGGTGTTTGCGGAGTCACTACCAGCTCTAGCAAANAGAGCTGGTAGTGACTCCGCAAACACTTATCGTTTTGCTAGAGCAAAACTTCAGATGCCTTCTGACACGGCGTCGTTGCAACGATAGGCTCACTCTTTCTGAGGTAAAAAATTGAGTAAGAAGATGAATAATAAATGTTACCTTTTGCCGTATTAGGAATATTCAAGTTCTTAAGCTTCAACCACACCAATGCGTGCAGTACCTCTAGCATGAACGACTTTCGTCTCGAATCGTTTGCGTATTCGATAAAATTCGATATTCGGCCTTCGAATTCAACGATAACGTGACAATTTTTACTGTCAAAATTAGTTTCGTTCTACTATTTCTCATACTGAGTTCACTTTACATCACTTTCAGAGGGGCTATGTTTAATTTTTCATACTAAATCTTTTGATGGCGATTCGAATACGCAAACGATTCGAAGTCGAAAGTTTTTCGTGCTAGAGGTACAGATCGCCATCGCCGGCGCGATCTGCACGCGTTTGTGTGGTTGAAGCACAACTTACACACCTCATCAAACCTGTCATAAACTCCGTATCTACCATAGATAAATAAATTCAAATTCAAAATTATTTATTGTGAAACATATTTTTTTTTTTTTCAATAAATAAATAATCTTAAAATTTTGTTTGGTTAAAAAACTATAGACTTACAATGCCGATGACGAGGTTTCTAAATCTAAGGACATAGGAGTCACCGAAGACTCCGACGTGGCAACCAACAGCTCGCTTGGTGTTGCCGAGGTCACTACCAGCTCTAGCCCCACTTCACATGACTCCGGAGACGGCTTCGTTGCAACGATAGGCTCACTATTTCTGAAGTAAAAATTGGGTAAAACGACGAAATAAAAATAATAAAAAAATCATTAAAATTTTGGGTTGGTTAAAAACTATACTTACATTGCCGATGACGAGGTTTCTAAATCTAAGGACGTAAGAAACATCAAAAATTCGGATGTGGGAACCATCAGTTCGCTTGGTGTTGCCGAGGGCACTACCAGCACCACTTCAGACGGCTTCGGAGACGGCGTCGTTGCAACGATAGGCTCACTATTTCTGAAGTAAAAAATTGGGTAAGATGATGAATTAAAAACAAATAAATGTTAACTTTTGCCGTACTAGACAAGGTACAGTAAGGCTAAGAACTCATGGCGCGATTTTTAGTCTGTTGGGGAAAATACTTCAGATTATTGTCCAAATATTATACATAGTAAATAAAAAGTAAAAAAACTAAAACCCAACTACGACAAAAAACGACGCTGAAAAAGTATAAAACAAGATTTTCAGAATACTGAACTGAACAAAGTTGCTAAGTTGCATAGAATTTTCATGTTTGGAAAACCGCACTCGCACGTTTTCAAAGTGCTACGGTAGGTAACGTGTGACTACGCCTTTCCAAACATGATTCTGAAGGCTGAAAATATTAAATTTTCGGATAGATCCACTTTAGTCTGCGACCTAATATTGGTACCGTTGGAGCTGATGAAGCACTTTCAGGATCAGTAACCAGTTTTTTTTATATCTTGTATAGTTTAGAAATAATCGAATGAGATCACTTATCGTTTCCACCCTGTATAAAATCTGATTTTTATGTATAATATTTGGGCAATAATTAGAAGTATTTTCCCCAACAGCCAGACAGTTTTGACAGTTCCAACTCCTTGCCAGACACCCCCATTTTTTTTTTTTGTTAGTCCCAACGGCCCCGGTGGATCTGCCCCGTCAACGGGGTGGATGGGAAAAAGTGTTTCAACGACCCCGGTAGTCATAGTCTTAGCGTTCAACGGAGTGGATGGAACACATCAAGTGTCAACCACCCCGGTATATCATTTAACGGGGCGGATGGATCAAATCAAGATTCAACCACCCCGGTATTTCACTAAACGTGACGGATGACACAGATCTAAAAGGTTCCACCTCGGTATTGCATACCTACCGAAAATAAAACCTGTTAATAAATAAAATAAAAAATAATAATATCTAAATAATATAATCAGTTTTATTTAACAATCACTGTTTAAAAAATCTTCAGCATAAAAGTAAGTTTAATTGTCACAAAATATTATGGTCATAAACCTATAGATTACTTTTAGAATCACAGATGCGCAATTGCATTAATCATTCAATATTAATAACTCTCTAATAGTCTAATGTGATAAAAAGTAACTCTAAAACTCCTCACTAACAAATATGTAATAACATGGAAATCTAAAATTTTTACAAAATATAATTATTATTTAAGAATCACAGATACGTAGTTACATTAATCAGGTGTTGATTAAGAGTAGGCGCACACCGTTGATTTTTAGTTGGCCGATAGTTGTGCCCGATTTTAAATTGTATGCAGAATCTGCCAAATGGAATCGGCGTAGTGTGCGCACTCCCATACACGCCCATACTGATCAACTGCCCGACTAAACTATCGGCCGACGAAAAATCAAAGGTGTGCGCCTACTCTAACAATAGTACTTAAAGTACTAATTAATTAAATAAATTATTAATAACATGCAGATCCACCGGGGCCGTTGGGACTAACCCAAAACCCTAACTACCCTTTTTTAGGGTAGCTCCCAAAGCCACCATGACCCAAACTTCATAATTCACCAACATTATATCCTATACCTATTGGGAGCATACGCTGACAAACTTTCAGCTTTTATAAAATGACGTAGGTCTGGCGTTCACTAGCTCTTAGTCTATAAAACATCAAACCTGGTATAAACCCGAACCTGACACAAAACTGACAAATGAACTTAAGAAAATATCGAAAATCTTAAAAAAAATATTTAAGAACTTACATGTTTGGTGATGATGACCCAGCATCATCCACACCAATAGACTTCTTCATCGATTTTGCGTCAGCGCTAAAATTGATAAAATACGTTTAGTCAATCAATACTAACATGAATAGGTACGTGCACAATCATTAAAATATGTTTTCGCTTAAATACATACATCAGTACTGAGGGACATCTTGACCTTCTTTTCTTGGGATGTAGAGGACGCTCCAACGCTCTACCCTTAGGCGCATCTTCTATCATCATTGTCTGAAGACTAAAATCAAAATAATATTCACGTCTATTAAGGGCTATCTATTTGTTATCTCTATTAAAGGCGTAATTTTAAAAAGTAAGAAAAAGGTGATAATTACGGTTCTGAAAGGGAAGGTCTCGCCGTGCCTCTTCCAGGTCCAGCAGCAGAAGCGCCCCGCTCGCCTTGGCCAGACCAGCCATCACCACTACCACCACCTCGCCTGCGCACGCCGCCGCGTCGTGCACCACCCGGACTCACACTCTTTGCACTATAATAACATGCAAAACAAAAAAAAAATCAAAGCAAACTCAAAAACAAATGCCTCCGACTGCATTATGATTTTGTGAACACTAACGGCGCGCGTGCGCACGTGTGACTTTTTTAACACCGTGAAAGTATGTCTCCCTTTTTCTGTAAAAGAAACAAATGTATTAAACTATCACCGTTAATACTGTCACGTCGACAAAAGTCACATGTCGCGCGTCTTGTCTTGTTTCTATCTTTCTACGAAATGTAGGTACCTAAGCAGGTACCTACCTAAGTGAAACAATTGAAACGCTATCATGAAAAGTGAGTAACTACAGGGATGCAAAAAACTACTATTTTTTCGAAATTCGTGTGCTTTATCTTGGTACATTTTTACCTAAGTAGGTACATAATATGTGTTCAAACACACCAATGACAGTTTAAAGCATTCTTTATTAATATTAAAAAGTCGACAAATAAATCCAAATAAAATGTCGATATAAAATTAATAAAGGTGACCGGCGCTATGGCACAGAATAAGTAATAGTTATGGATACGCGACATTAACCATGTTAATCCACTGTCATTTTAACAAACGTCAAACCATCCATGCTCTCGACTGTGAGGCACCTGATGCCCCACCTCTTTGTCTGACATGTCAAGACAATTTTTTTTGCCATAATTTATAAAAACTCAAATATCTTCAGGACTATTAGGACCATGACATTTTGAGGCTTCCGGCGACTGGGACCGCAATTAACTGGGACCGCGGTCCCAGTGGCCGGATCCGAAAAATGTAAATAATATTCTTCCGGCAACTGGGTGGGACCACTCATAGATAACATAAAAAAAAATATTATTTAGGCCAAAATCGGTACAGTCATACGAAATCTTTTACTGAATACCTACTCTGTATTAGTTTCTTGACCTAAATCTTCAAAATTTTCCAACAGAAATGTTATAAAGTTATAATATAATAAGCGTGATATCCTGCTTACACAAAAATTTAAATAAGAAAAGTAGACCAGGTACTTATCTATTTATTACTCAAATAAAAACAAATTAATGCTTGACTGTAAAAAGCATTTCATTTAATTAACAACACAATAGATTTGCTACAAAAAACCAACCTACTTCATACAGGCTGAATTTGCAATCAGTGTCAAAATTATTAGGAGCGCCTCAGAATCACAATTATTTTTCCTAATTAATTATTTTTTCCACTGGGCGCGGTTTCAAAATTGGCACATGTGGATAATTTACTTCGTTCATAGAAAAATACGTACACACAAGTAACTGCAAAGCCTGATGATGGTAAACGAAAATAAGCCTTAATCTTTAAAACTTAAGATAATTATGGGCAACCCGCAAATTAAATTTTAAATTTTTTTTTTCCAAAAATACTTTAAAAATAATTAAGATAATGTAAGGGTTAATAATAATCGACTTATCTTTTACCTTTGACCTAGCAACATTAGGTAGGTACTGTTGTACCTAAGTTAGATGTGATCATTTTGTATGCACATTTAAATCACAAAAATATAACACTTTAAAATGGTTTTTTAACACATTTTTGATGATTTTCAAGTAACTGAACACCAATTCGTCATCAATTCACCAATCAGAACACTTTTTATATGAATTTTGACTGATTGGTAAAATTTTCAATCAAGCGAAACCACTTTTAGCAGATTTTTTTGACTGTTTTTTTTTTCAGTCAAAAGTGGTTTTGACCGATAATGAGTTTTGACTGTAACACATTATATTTTGTTTTCGGAACTTAAGCACTTAAGTCAGCTGATACGCGTAAAAAGAAACGGTGACATTTTGTTGCTACAAAATGAAAATTCAACAGAAGTCAGAAGTAATTTTTGCATAAAACGACTTCGCCGAATATAGATAGGTTCGAAGTGAGGTGGGGGTGGGGAGTGAAGCGCAGTGGTAGTAAGAAGAGCTTATTAAAAAATTTGGATACTGTTTACAAGGCCTTTGTCCAGCAGTGGACGTCTTTCGGCTGAAACGAACGAACTGTTTACAAAATCATCCCAACTAATATTATAAATGCGAAAGTAACTCTGTCTGTCTGTCTGTCTGTCTGTCTGTTACGCTTTCCCGCTTAAACCTCGCAACCGATTTTGATGAAATTTGGCATAGAGATAGTTTGAGTCCCGGGAAAGAACATAGGATAGTTTTTATCCCGGTTTTTGAAACAGGGACGTGCGCGATAAAGTTTTTCTGTGACAGACAAAATTCCACGCGGGCGAAGCCGCGGGCGGAAAGCTAGTTCTGTATAAATTTCTTGTCCAAAAGATGAGAAATAAACAAAACACGGGGGCCACGGCATATGCTGAGTGAGGTCCCATTGCGATGGGCATCGCTGTGCGACAGGGTGGCACTGCTTAGTTTATTCATTCATTTATTGTATGTTTTATGTCACCTCTGTCTTATTTGCTTTTTTTTTTCATTTTACCTCTTTTGTCTTTTGTGATGTCCATAGCAATAAATGTTTCTTTCTTTCTTTCAAACTTTTATAAAACGGCCATTCGAGAGCGCCATAAAACTGAGCTTTACAAAAAAGTACCTAGGTACCTACTTATTCATTCGAACTAAAAGCTTTGCGAGTGTTGAAACCACAGATATGGGTGGGCACGCTCGTCTTCATACATTTTTTTTGACATGCTGCATCTATCTATATCTGTGGTTGAAACCTTGGCCTCTAGTCTGTGGTGTGGAGCATAATATCACAGAATACATAATAGTAGCAACAGAAATTGCACTCCTTTGTGTAGGATCAGATGCCGACATTTTAACGGTAATAATAATAATGCAAAATTTCCAACGAACCTGGTGCATTCGAAATTGCACCCTACTACTACGCTCACAAGAGCGCAATTTTTTTGTGATCAGAATTGATCTACGTCACAGCTCAAGCGTCAGGGTTGTTTAAACAATAAAAACTTAATTTTAAGAAGCATTTATTGTTTTTACGATTGGTAAACGTTAATCTTCTCCTTGAAGGAGGTCTCAGACTGGGGTCGACGCAATTTGGTCCAATTTAACCCTACAAAGACAGAAGTTTGCGCGTTCACCGCCAAAAAGTTGCCGTTTGTCGTATCCCGCTGTTTCGAGAGCACTCCCTAACTGCCTCAGCCAATATCGGAATCCTTGGTGTCGACATATCGAGCGAAGTCCAGTTCCGTGGTCATTTAGAGGGTAAGGCTAAATTAGCCTCGAAGAAGCTTGGTGTGCTCAATAGATCGAGACGGTATTTCACTCCAGCCCATCGTCTGCAACTTTACAAGGCGCAGGTTCGGCCTCATATGGAATACTGTTCTCATCTTTGGGCAGGTGCGCCCCAGTACCAGCTTCTCCCTCTGGACCGCATTGAACGGAGAGCAGCTCGAATCGTTGACTGCCAGGACATTTCGGATCGGCTTGACCCCTTGGCGCTGCGTAGAGATGTATCCTCACTGTGCATCTTCTATTGCATGTATCACGGGGAGTGCTCCAAAGAATTATCCGGACTTATTCCTGCCGCCACTTTTCGCCACCGATCTACCCGACAGCACTTCCACCCCCATCACTTAGATGGTTGGCAGTCCACAACAGTACGTTTCTCTAGAAACTTCCTGCCCCGTACAACCAAACTGTGGAATGGACTGTCGTCTGCGGTGTTTCCGGACGGATACGACCTGCAAGCTTTCAAGAGGAGAGCGTATCTTTACCTTAAAGGCCGGCAACGCACCTGTAACGCCCCTGGGTCTGCGGGTGTTTATGGGCGACGGTAATCATTTACCATCAGGTGATCCGTCTGCTCGTTTGCCCTCTATGACATAAAAAAAAAAATCTAGTAGTGTTTGTATTTCGTACCATCTCCAAAGTACCTATTAATAAACTTGAGTGTTGCGATTATTCGAAATTGGACAAACAGTTTTAAAAGGTGTAGTGTCGGAAAATAGACACGGTGAAATAAAGTTAATTTTTTATTAGCTAAAATAATGTTTTTGCTACAGCTTTTTGTCTTAAGTATTTCATTTCTTTCATGTATTGCAGTTATTTTTCATTATTTGAATTACTATTTTTAAATTACAGTTAATTATAAAATAGTTATTTTGCTAGAGAATAAATTTTATAATAATACATTAACTTAAAATGACTTAAAAACTAAAATTTAAAAATTACTAATGATAAAAACTATTTACAAAATAAAAAATACTTCACCCCCAACGCCGCAGTCAGGAATGGTGCCCAAAAGGCTGGCAGCATTGCCACGTTGAATGGCCAGGCTAATTCTCTGAATTAAAGTGCTGTTGGAACAATAAACCTTGATTGCGACGATGATCAACCGAGCGCGAGCGTGTATAGGTACGCATGTGTACCTACACAGGCGCGTGGCGGCCCTGACTGATTTGCAACTTGGAGTTGTCGCGCGCTGTAGGTAATTATCTCGGCCGGCATAGGCGAGTGACGGAGGCCTGAGCCCCGATTACGGTAACTTTTAACGTCTACAATCCAGACGCGTTTCTGATTCTGCAATACGATTGGTCAAAACAGCTGACGTACGCTGTTGAACGACCAATCGTATCGCAGAATCGAGAAGCGTGTCTGGATTGGAAACGTTAAAAGTTACCGTAATCGGGGCTCTGATAATATTAAGCTCCAAACTTAAAATGGCCGCGTCTGTGGCTTGGAGCATATGCTCCCAACAACAGAGGGTCATATTCTTAGATTAATAAATCTAAGGTCATTTTACAATGTATGAAAATTTTCTATTTTGTGTTTCTAGACATAATAGTTACATGTATGTGTTCACTAGGAACTGGGGGCAGTATAATTATCAATAACTTTAAGAAATCGACCAACTTCAATGTCAGATTCTTATTTTTTACGCCAAAGAAAAGAAACTGCCCAGTTTGTTGTGAACAAACACACACATTTGTATTTTGAAGAGGACGAGAGGACGCTCCAACGCTCTACCCTTAGGCGCATCTTCTATCATCATTGTCTGAAGACTAAAATCAAAATAATATTCACGTCTATTAAGGGCTATCTATTTGTTATCTCTATTAAAGGCGTAATTTTAAAAAGTAAGAAAAAGGTGATAATTACGGTTCTGAAAGGGAAGGTCTCGCCGTGCCTCTTCCAGGTCCAGCAGCAGAAGCGCCCCGCTCGCCTTGGCCAGACCAGCCATCACCACTACTACCACCTCGCCTGCGCACGCCGCCGCGTCGTGCACCACCCGGACTCACACTCTTTGAACTATAATAACATGCAAAACAAAAAAAAAATCAAAGCAAACTCAAAAACAAATGCCTCCGACTGCATTATGATTTTGTGAACACTAACGGCGCGCGTGCGCACGTGTGACTTTTTTAACACCGTGAAAGTATGTCTCCCTTTTTCTGTAAAAGAAACAAATGTATTAAACTATCACCGTTAATACTGTCACGTCGACAAAAGTCACATGTCGCGCGTCTTGTCTTGTTTCTATCTTTCTACGAAATGTAGGTAAGTACCTACCTACCTAAGTGAAACAATTGAAACGCTATCATGAAAAGTGAGTAACTTCAGTGATGCAAAAAACTACTTTTTTTTTTCGAAATTCGTGTGCTTTATGTCTTGGTACATTTTTACCTAAGTACATAATATGTGTTCAAACACACCAATGAAAGTTTAAAGCATTTTTTATTAATATTAAAAAGTCGACAAATAAATCCAAATAAAATGTCGATATAAAATTAATAAAGGTGACCGACGCTATGGCACAGAATAAGTAATAGCTAAGTATGGCTACGCGACATTAACCATGTTAATCCACTGTCATTTTAACAAACGTCAAACCAAGTCAAAGCCAGTCTGTGAGAAATATTGCTACGAAAAAAGACCATCCATCCTCTCGACTGTGAGGCACCTCCTGACGCCATACCCTTTGTGTGACATGTCAAGACAATTTTTTTTTGCCATAATTTATAAAAACTCAAATATCTTCAGTTCTATTAGGACCATGACATTTTTACTGAATACTTTGTATTAGTTTCTTGACCTAAATCTTCAAAATTTTCCAACAGAAATGTTATAAAGTATACAGTGTGAGTCACGTTAAAGTGTACATATGAAAATAGATGAAACTAGACCTATTTTTATCGACAAAAGAGGTAAAAAAATTTTTGAGATTTTTTTTAAATTTTTATAGAATTTTTTTTCTTACAATTACTTATTGTAAAGAAAACGTAATAACTTTTAAACTAAGCGGTATATCCTGATAAAATAAAAACAGTAATAATGCTAAATAACAGGCGATACTAAAAAATACATAAAATACACAAAAAAAGCCAACAAATAATAAAAAAATTAAACTTTTTGAAAAAAATCTGCTTTTAAATTCGTGTTTTTTTGGTTATTTGATAAATTTCTCCAAAAAATGCCCCTATAACCGGTGGTTTTTAAACTAAGATAAAGTAAGGGTTGGATTCCGACCGAAGAAATTAATAATCGACTTATCTTTTACCTTTGACCTAGCAACATTACTGTTGTACCTAAGTTAGATGTGATCATTTTATATGCACAAATCACAAAAATATAACACTTTAAAATGGTTTTTAACACATTTTTGATGATTTTCAAGTAATTTTCACCAATCAGAACACTTTTTATATGAATTTTGACTGATTGGTAAAATTTTCAATCAGGCGAAACCACTTTTAGCAGATTTTGACTGTTTTTTTTCAGTCAAAAGTGGTTTTGACTGATTATGAGTTTTGACAGTAACAACCCGAGACTGTAACACATTATATTATTTTGTTTTCGGAACTTAAGCACTTAAGTCAGTTGATATCTACGCGTAAAAAGATACGGTAACCTATCATTTTGTTGCTACAAAATGAAAATTCAACACAAGTAATTTTTGCATAAAACGACTTCGCCGAATATAGATAGGTTCGAAGTGAGGTGGGGGTGGGAGTGAAGCGCAGTGGTAGTAAGAAGAGCTTATTAAAAAAAATTGGATACTTTTTACAAGGCCTTTGTCCAGCAGTGGACGTCTTTCGGCTGAAACGAACGAACTGTTTACAAAATCATTCTGTATAAATTTCTTAAACAAAACATGTTTCAAACTTTTATAAAACGGCCATTCGAGAGCGCCATAAAACTGAGCTTTACAAAAAAGTACCTACCGTAGAATGGGGTTACTTTGGCCAATTGTGAACTTTGAAGATCCATATCTTTTAAATTGTTGGGTGTAAAAAAATACAAAAAAGTCTAATAATCAGTTTTTATAGTACTCTCGATTCGTGTAATAAAAAATGAAAAAATATAGCTCAATTTTGAGAAAAAAAAGGGTTAGTCCCAACGGCCCCGGTGGATCTGCCCCGTCAACGGGGTGGATGGGAAAAAGTGTTTCAACGACCCCGGTAGTCATAGTCTTAGCTATACTCTATAGCTATGACTACCGGGGTCGTTGAAACACCTTTTCCCATCCACCCCGTTGACGGGGCAGATCCACCGGGGCCGTTGGGACTAACCCCATTTTTTTATATTTCTGGTAATTTCTGACTAGACCCGACTGGCAACACTGATTAACATGCTCCAAACTTAAAATGGCCGCGTCTGTGGCTTGGAGCATTTATGCTCCCAACAACAGAGGATCATAATTATTACAATGTATGGAAATTTTCTATTTTGTGTTTCTAGGCATAATAGTTACATGTATGTGTATACTAGGAACTGGGCTGTATAATTATCAATAACTTTAAGAAATCGACCAACTTCAATGTCAGATTCTTATTTTTTACGCCAAAGAAGTTGATAAACAGCCCAGTTCGTTGTGAACAAACAGACACATTTGTAAGCATTAGGTATGCCTACAAAAACAAACTAAACCGAGCCGTGCAGCGTAATATGAACCCATGTTTTATGGAGCATATGTTCCAACCCACAGACGCGGCCTTTTCTCCTCACAGACGAGAGGTACATTTTCATCACATGCTTTCCTTTTTAGTTCAAATTATTTAAGTGATTTAGAGTAGGTAACAAAAAAAATTAAAAATCACAACATTACCTACTACGTTAATTCCCATGGTATTTTTTAATTGAAAATTATTAAGAAACTCGTAATGAATGTAAAATAATTGAAGATTACTTACCGTTTCATGATGATTCTTCTCAAAATCAGGTTTTTGTCGTTTTCTAAACGCTAATTTTCTGTTTACGACCGCCGCCAACTCTCTGGACACGCTGAGTAACGAACACAAACCAACGCCAGGTGACACCCTGTGACACCAAGGCCTAAGCTAGAAATGCGCGTTCAAAATTAAAATCAACAACGAATGAATGAGAATGACTGTGACAGATATATATATTTCTATTTTGTTCTCTCTCTAGCTCTCGCCCGAACCAACCCGAATGTCTCACTCACGCATGAGACAGGTATACGTGCGCAAACGGGACCAAGAGCGAGCGAGCGATAGCGAGACACACCGAGAGGTAGCGAGAGCTCCCTGTAAACTCGGCCTAATTATCTCGTGGTCTCTCGGCGAGAGTGTACTGCCGAAATGAGAAGTTGTTTTTACCCGACTGCGCCAGAAGGAGGGTTATGTTTTTCGAGTGTATGTATGTATGTATGTGAGGGGTCGTAAGATTCGTCCTAATCGTGAGAGTGACACTGGCTATATTAAAATTGGAAAAAATCAAAATGGCGGATTTTAGGCGCCATAAAGTCTTAAAATATATTTTTTTCCCAATACATATCGAGGGTATCAAAATAAAGGGCTATTTTAGTAGTTTACAAAAATGTACGTTATTTTAGTAATTAAAAAGATTAAAATAAAATTGTTATTGAATAAACAAAAAACCCCACTGCGTAAAAATTAACTAAAAAAAAAGATAAAAACAAGACAACTTAGTGTTCACAAATGCAGTCGGAGGCATGAAATACATCACCAACAAAAGAATTAGTCATTGATGCCTCTGATGCAGCCAGAAGCATCAATGACTACCTACTATTATCCAGAAAATGGCAACAAATAATAAAAAAATGTAACATTTTGAGGAAAATCTGCATTTCAATTTCTTGTTAGGACTACGGAATCCTAAAAAATTACTAACTTAAACCAAGAGGTATATCGTGATAAAATAAAAACAGATAATGCTAAATAATAGGCGATACTAAAAAAATACTAAATTATCCAAAAAATGGCAACAAATACATAATAAAAAATGCAACATTTTGAGAAAAACCTGCATTTCAAGTTCTTGTTAGGACTACGCTACGGAATCCTAAACATTGACTTAGTGATTTGTTCCAAAGTGCTTGTCGTGTAGTGTCAGTGTAACGTGCTAATTTTGGGACACCATGATATTAACGTACCTACTATTATTAAATACTGATTATAATACTGAGAAGTATACAGGGTGGAAACGATAAGTGATCTCACTCGATTATTTCTAAACTATACAAGATATCAATAAACTAGTTAGGTACTGATCCTGAAAGTGCTTCATGAGCTCTATCAAACGGTATTAATAATAGGTTACAGAATAAACTGGATCTATCCGAAAATTCAATGTTTCCAGCTTCCATACATTTGGTAAAGTCACATTATTTAAAAAACTACACATGATGTCGTAAAACTGATTACTGATTCTAATAGTGCTTCACAAGTTCTATCCAATGGTATCAATAATATATAATAGTTACAGAATAAACTGGATCTATCCAAAAATTCAATGTTTCCTTCTTCCATACATTTAGTTTGACAATATTATAGAAGGTAAAGCCTAAAACCAATGTTTTCCAGGAATAATTTTAAATAAGAATACAATTTACGTGTTTATTTTAAGAGTTTATTATTAAATAAAAAAATACACTTCTGATAATGTGTGTCTGGCAAACATTTAGTATGGAAGCTGGAAACATTGAATTTTCAGATAGATCCAGTTTATTCTGTAACCTATTATTGGTACCGTTTGAAAGAGCCCATGAAGCACTTTCAGGATTTGTCTCCAGTTTTTTAATATCTTGTATATACAGGGTGTTAGGTAAATGGGTATATGAGCCGACACTAGCCCATGTTAACATAGGCATATAAATGGTATGGTGAAGTCAGAAATTTGATATCTTCATTTTAATTATTTTGATTTTCATACAAAATAAATTTTACAAAATCCGATTTGTATGAAAATTAAAATAGGTATGTAGTTAAAATGAAGATATCAATTTTCTGACTTCACCATACCATTTATATGACCATGTTAACATGGGCTAGTGTCGGCTCATATACCCATTTACCTAACACCCTGTATAGTTTAGAAATAATCGAGTGAGATCACTTAACGTTTCCACCCTGTATTATATTGCTTACAGAAGCAGTTTCCGCAAATTGAGCTTTATCAGAGTTGTTTTCTATAATTTTCCTGCAAGTACAAACACATTATGTGAGCTTAATGAAAAATACAATAGGAAATTAAAAAGCTTTGGTATTTAAAATACACATTTATTAGTGAACACTGTAATACAGCATAACATTGTTCATGATATTTAATGGTAGGTACATGATTATAATAATTGATAATGGTATACTTAATTAAAAATATCATATTTATGATTAAATATTATCTTATAATATATTATAACGACACAGTTAATGTAACTGAGGCATTTACATTCGAGGCACAAGGTACTTGCATTTAATTATGCATGTAAATTCTAATAAATATTTTAGCTATTAGAAACGGAAAGCCGATGTTGGTTTATTATTAGTATACATCTGTATAACAGCTACCTATCAATAGGCGTTTGTAAATTAAATGCTTATAATATGTATATGTATGCGTACACAGATCTAAGTGTAAATACAGATCAAAAATAAGAATGAAGAACAGAAAAATCAGAAAGCTTCGAAAGAAAAGTAAGAAAGGAGGAATTTAATTAACCTTTTACGTTGTCACTACCTAAGTAGGTACTTAGTTGCCGAAATATTGTGGCCATTTTTCTAGCACTTACTTAGTCTGATTAATCGATTCTTTAGAAAAATTTAGCTAGGACCATTATTAGTAGGGTATGAAGGTTAGATAAATTATTATGCTTTGAATGTACTAAATGAACTAATGGAAGATGTGTAGGTTTATTATAAAATACTATGGGCTGTGAATATAAACCACCCTATTATAGATAATACGTAACTACTAGACCGAGATCTAAATAAAATCAAGCTAGGCCACTTTAGAAGGACCTTTATGGCGTCATTCTCGAAACTATCATACTCGTACTGAATGAGTTTGTCCGTTTTAACAGTAAAATAAAATCATAACAGTAAGTTAATAATCATAATCAGCATTGTAGGTACGCATAGACACGATAACGGGTTAATTTAATTTAAAATTAAATGTATTTTTGGTCTGAAAAACTGATAAATGAATATTATATTCGATTTCATTAATAAAATAACATTATTATTCACATACGTATTAGGTCAATGTAACATTAGTTTTATCATAAAAGTAATATTACTTACATTTGGTAATAAGTAAAACTATACAACTACTTATTAAAAATTCATTATTTTATATTCTCTACATTTATCGTATGTACTGATTAGAGGCACAATTGAATTACCTTATCAAAATACCTAGGATTCCATTGAACTGTGCACTCACGTAATAAGTAAAAATGCAGGCACATTGGTCGTTCTGTGCAGAACTATAATTATTTTCAAACTTTTGGAATAGGTACACACACACAACCTAAAACGGCTGCAGCCTGAGATTTAATCAGCAACAAAACCAGACGAATGTAAAGTGTGTATAGCGCTACTAATGTTGCTGACCATTTGGTTGTACCTAGGGGCGCGGGCCTTGTTGACACGTGGGTCGCATATGCATGGTATGCGCAGGGCCTGGTGGTGGCCGTTAGTTGCCGCCGTAGTCGCGCAGCTCGCGGTTGCCGAGCGGCAGCGTCGGCCGGTAGTTGTGCAGCAGCTCCATGGCCTCCTCGCCGCACGACGCCTCGCCGCAACGCAGCTTGCGCATCAGGGCCAACTGAAATATGACATTATGTTCTTTTCATCTGATAATTGCACGAGGGATGGTAGCTGAGGCCTACTGCTCGGGACATCATCCATGTAAAGTCTCATGTGTGATCAAAAACACTTCATATCTATGTAAGAAATTATAGATTCCCTGTTCTTCCAATTAATCTCTATAGCCTACACCGGAATTAAATTATGTCTATGATAGATTAATAGATTATTGTTGAGAGATGAGACTCTCATACTTTTTATCCTCATAGCTGAGCACAAAAATGAAATCACAATGTGATTTCTATAGCTCTATGCAACATTAAACAAATAGGCTCATTCAAATGGCGTGTTTTGGAAAGCATTTAAAGTGGAACATGCGGTGCGTATCCGTTGTTTTGTTTGCGCATCGGAAACCGGTCTTCACGCAGACTTGTTGTTTCGCCTAAGCCATAGATTATCCTTTTTAATAAAGTTTAAAATAATGTAGAGTCACAGACGAAAAGGAAACCAAATCGTACACGAAATCGAAAAACGGCGGTGTTTTTCCTTCCTTAAAAAATCCTATTGTAGATTCGTTTGTCTAAGGATCTAAGATAAAGCCTAGATGGATAGACTTCATTTCATACTGTCGTTTCGTCAAAAGTGAGGCAAAAATCTTATGTCATTACTGTCAAAATATTGTTAAAAATGTCTAAAAAGGCGATTTTTTCGAAAATCTGAGATTTTTATCCACATGTATCGTAATAAAATGTTATTAAGTACTATTTAAAATAAGACTTTTAATTAAAACAATAAAGCTTCAAGTTTCAAGTGGACAAGAATGGTCCACAAAAAGTTGCCTCACTTTTTGTGCGCTTACTATCTATTAGTATCTATCTAGGCTTTATGTGAATCGATTATAATGTTATTCATTCTGTTGTTTAAATATATGAAAAGTTAGCATAAGGAATTATTTGTGTCTCTATATCCTGAGTGAAGCTTTAAAGCGGTTTCAAACTGACCTGCTCAGCGGACACCTGCACGGGGTCCTTGAAGAGTATCCAGGTGACGGACTCGGTGCAGGGCGGCGTGGTGAGCGAGCCGGGGTAGGTCCAGTAGGCCGTGCGCGCGGGCAGCAGCCTGGCCGGGTCGAGCGGCTCCGACATCGTCACTGTCGCCCTTGTGCTGGATGTACGGCAATAGCCGGACTACTTTGTCTAGTTCCTCGTGTTTTGAGCCAACCTGGAATTACAAAATTGATAATTAATATTAATTATTGATAAGAGGAAGAATTAGAGAGGTTATGAAATGATCAAAAGATTTATTAAAACTTAATGGCACACCTAACACAGGAAACATTGCACGGATGAACCAAGATCGCCAGAAAGACCCCGCAACAACACCCGCGGCAGGAGAGGGGAAGACCGCCTAAACGGTGGACAGACGACATCCGGCAGCAAGCTGGAGTAAAAGTGACTAGGGTCAGGGTAAGTCGGTGGAGTGTTGAAGAGGAGGCCTATGTTTGAAGGCGAACCCCCTAAAGCTGTGGTTCTTAACCTTTAAGTCATGAGGGACCATTTTACCAAATTTCTGTCTTGTCAGGGACCACCTCATAATCGGTCAAAACCAGTTTGCCTGCAAAAATCAGTTAAAAGTGGTTTTAACCAAGGTGTGCAAGTACACTTCGTGGACCACTTGGAATGTCTCCAGGGACCACCAGTGGTTCGCGGACCACCGATTAAGAACCACTGCCCTAAAGGCTGATATAGATAGACATAGATATATAGATAAAATGGCTAAACTCTGCCTAATACAAATCCATTTTGTATATTTTACGGAATCATTGCTGAACATTACCTAGGCAATCTAGGAAGCGAATGAAGCACCTAGCTAGTGTTTATTCATGCGTATAAATACAGGTATTAAGTGCTAGGTATGCACGTAAAGGTAAGAGTACCTAAAGGGATTGACTTCCAAGTTGCACGGCTTCGGTGACGTGATCGCTTAACAAAGTTACTGGGATCTGTACAACACTCGTAAACTTATCTAGATATTGCTATAACGAATAATAAGATTCAGTCGGTGAATATTGTCTCAGCATTATAATAAGCCCTTTAGACATCTGTGGTGTCCGAGAATGCCCTTTAGATCCGAGTTAACAGTTTTACAGTTTACAGTTTTATGAAAGAAATGATATGTTATACTTTTAGCCTAATACTTTATATACCACTTATAGCTGCGTATAGTTGACTAGCTGTGCCCGCGACTTCGTCCGCGTGGAATTATGACTTTGGGTAGGCACTTTTAATAATTTAGTCTAATTATTTTACAAATAGCTTTTGCCCGCGACTTCGACCGTGGAGAAGTCGAAAACGTTCTCAAACGATTATTTTTAAATGTTTTAACGTTATTATCTAAATGTTTGAATACTTTTAAAATATAAAAATCAGGTTAAATAAACATGAAAATATTTTTTTCTTATATTTTATGAACTAGCGGCCGCCCGCGACTTCGTACGCGTGGATCCCGTTTTACCCCCTTCATCTATCTTACGCGGTTTAGATTTTTTCATACAAATGTTTTTTCCCGGTAACTCCCGTTCCCGTGGGAATTTTGCAATATCCTGTTGTAACTAAGCTTTACGTTTAATAAGGTACCTGCATGCCAAATTTCAAGCGTCTAACTTAAGCGGTTTAGATTTTTCATACAAAAGGATTTTCCCGCTAATTCCCGTTCCCGTGGGAATTCCTAAGTATACTATAACCTGCCCAGGAGTATGAAGAATAATTGTACCAAGTTTNACGAGTATCAACGTCTTTCTCAACATCATGCACGTATAGTTCACTTTAATCCCCCAAAACAGTTTTGGTATTTGCTAAACAACTGTAAACTTATCTAGATATTGCTATAACGAATAATAAGATTCAGTCGGTGAATATTGTCTCAGCTTATAATAAGCCCTTTAGACTTCTGTGGTGTCCGAGAATGCACTTTAGACCCGAGTTAACAGTTTTACAGTTTACAGTTTTATGAAAGAAATGATATGTTATACTTTTAGCCTAATACTATATATACCACTTATAGCTGCGTATAGTTGATTTTGCTTAAAGGAAAAACATTTTATAAGTTCGGGTTTATCCGCTTACATTGGTAACTTAGGTGATTAATCTAGCTGCGGTAGTGTCGTATTGGCATAGATTTCTAATTAAATATAATACTAGTTATTTTCCTTTTATTTTACACTAGCTTTCCGCCCGCGGCTTCGCCCCCGTGGAATTTTGTCTGTCACAGAAAAACTTTATCGCGCGCGTCCCTGTTTCAAAAACCGGGATAAAAACTATCCTATGTTCTTTCCCGGGACTCAAACTATCTCTATGCCAAATTTCATCAAAATCGGTTGCGAGGTTTAAGCGGGAAAGCGTAACAGACAGACAGACAGACAGACAGACAGACAGACAGACAGAGTTACTTTCGCATTTATAATATTAGTTGGGATTTATATTACTTTCATAAGTAATAAGTACTTATTTATTTTAATATACTCGCGCACAACAAATATTCTAGTCTACCGCTGACGATGTCCAATCGAGTCGCGAGAGAAAGTAGCGCTCGGAAGTCGAGAGAGCGATTTAGTTTAGCACGCTGTAATTATCCCAACTTGTCGACCTGTGCTGTGCCTGAACGAAATAATGTTTGTGTTCGCTTTGGAACAGAGCNAATGGTGTAAAGGGCAAGAATGTTTAAAATTAAATACTTGTGGTGAATAATTTATTTATTTGGATAAGGATTAATATCATGTTTATAAAAACACCTTCGCAAATAATGAATTATTTTAAAACAGTTTTTTTTTGCATAAAAATGGTTACTATGAGCCAACCTTAAAAGATAGACATATGCTACCGCGGACTTTTTTAAAGAACTTTTAAAGGGGAACAATCCTGTCATACATGATTTTTGCGAAACTTTAACCGTTTACGCAGCGTCAGCTCTCAAAAGGAAAAAATTCACTGATTTGAAGTATTTTTGATTGGTGCTCCGCTCCTATTGGTCTTAGCGTGATGATAAATAGCCTAAAGCCTTCAGGAACTAACGGGCTATCCAACACAAAAAGAATTTTTCAAATCGGTCCAGTGGTTCCTGAGATTAGCGCGTTCAACCAAACAAACAAACAAACAAACAAACTCTTCAGCTTTATAATATTAGTATAGATTTTGCTTAAAGGAAAAACATTTTATAAGTTCGGGTTTATCCGCTTACATTGGTAACTTAGGTGATTAATCTAGCTGCGGTAGTGTCTATTGGCATAGATTTATAATTAAATATAATACTAGTTATTTTCCTTTTATTTTACATTTATATTACTTTCATAAGTAATAAGTACTTATTTATTTTAATATACTCGCGCACAACAAATATTCTAGTCTACCGCTGACGATGTCCAATCGAGTCGCGAGAGAAAGTAGCGCTCGGAAGTCGAGAGAGCGATTTAGTTTAGCACGCTGTAATTATCCCAACTTGTCGACCTGTGCTGTGCGGTGCCTGAACGAAATAATGTTTGTGTTCGCTTTGGAACAGTGTGCTTACCATGAGTTTACGTTAGGTGTGCTCGCTAGCGACTGCGTAAAAAAATGACATTAATTGTATGACATATTCTGCAGCGCCCCTAGCGGCTACTTTCAAGAAACAAATGCTTCATAGAGATTTTTGACGTATTCGCTAGCGAGCACACCTAACGTAAACTCATGGTAGGTACACAGAGCGTGCAATTTATTGTACATATGACGGAAACTCTCAATCATCCCATCGCTCGTTCGGTTTGCGTCATGCGGTCACTATAGGTCGCACAGCGGCGTTAAAAACTCGCTGAGGTAAAAAACGTTTCAAACCATAAACCTCTTCAGAAGCAAATTCAAGTCATCGTCATAATAGCTAAGACTGTTTGATTACGTAATTTTATAGATGAGTAGGTAGTGTTTATCCAACTACCTATTAAAGTATTAGAATAGAATCGCGTATGGCATTATCATGTCTGTAATTTAGCATAATGTCTATACTGTATAGTTGTTAACGTAACGTAGCGTACATTTTCGTCTTTTCGTCGTTGGAACACAGAATTGGTTGAAAGGAAGTAATTTTTCTAGGCGCCTTTCTATAAAATTGTTAACCGAAATCGCAGGAAGAGAAAATAAGTGGGTGCCTGATATGTATAAAAAATAACAGTAACTAATTGTGTCCGTTTTCAACCATTCCTTGTTTAGATGGTTTTATTTGTTAACTTTCATTTGGGGTGACTGCACTAGCTGAAATAAGAAGTGACTTTCCTTATTATGATCCAAAATATAAATGATCACTTTCCCATACCTGTCGTAACCGTTGGTTGGTATCTATGACGTTTTGATCTCTATGTTTAGCAGTTTCATGAAAAGAAAATCCTTCTTCTACCTCAACATTACTGTGTGTATGCATAAGCTTAAATGTAATGAGTGCTATTTTCTATCAAACACATAATGTATAGTCTAACTTGCTGTCGTTGCTGCCGTGCATACAATATGCCACGAAAAACGCTAGCTTACCATCAGCAAAACTCCCAATACAGCCAGGCCGTCAGTCTGCCCCGCGGCTTCGGCGAAGCTGTTGTACTTGCTGGTGTTCCAGTGCACCAGATGCAGCTCGCCGGAGAAGGAGCGTCCGTCCACCGTGTGCTCGGAGCCCTCGCCGTTCACCGCGCCCCAGTGGCAGTGCCACTGCTGCAGTTTGTACACGTCCGAACCCAAGGGACCTCCGCGCAGTTCTGCAATGACAGAGCAAATTCGTTATCTTCAAATTCAGTAATTTAGTAAAGCTGCAGAAGATTGAGGGCTGTGTAATAAAAGCTATCCGAAAAAGACCATTTCTTGCTTTTTCAAGATTTTCCAGAGTGCTTTGACTGAAAAAAAAATCAGTCATCATACCTAGTTACCTACTCGTAAATTCAAATTCGAATATTTTATTAATCAGACTACAGTTGATCCATAGGTTAGTAAAGCCTGCTTTTAGTTATAAAAATATGATATGATTATAAAATAACTTTTTAAAAAAATAAAACCGACTTCAAATGCGTGAACACAAAAAAATACTAAAAATTAAAAATATTGCGTATAAAAAAGTTCATCCCCAATTTTCCACCCTTGGGGGTGAAATATTTTCTTCAAATTCGCATGAAACCACCCTTTTGATAATACCTATTCAACAAAAAAATAATCGTTCAAATTGATTTATAATCGGCGGAGATATTGCGTATAAAAAAGTTCATCCCCAATTTTCCACCCTTGGGGGTTGTTTTTTCTATTATTAAATTTAAATGGGACCACCCTTGAGGTATTACCTATACGCCGAAAAAAGATTTGTTCAAATCGGTTCATAATTGGCGGAGTTATCGCGTAACAAACATAGAAAAAAAAAAAAAAAAAAAACATACGGGTCGAATTGAGAACCTCCTCCTTTTTTGAAGTCGGTTGAAAATTCTCCGTCTTCATCATCTTCCCTTTTGAGAGCGTTTTATATGAGGATTAGATTCGATGTTAGATTCTTCGATGGATGTTTGATTCCTGAAAATGCTTAAAAACTTTTCGGTTTGTTTGGGAATCTAAAGCAATAGCAATGGGTTCGCGCGTCGCATTTGACACCGGGAGAGCTGTGCTGTGAGTCACCGCGAGGGGACCGTCTGGATCGATGGAAATGCAAATTGGCTCGTATTACTAACAGCGAGGACCTACAACTTCCGCTTGCAGTCGCATTATGTATTATGTACTGTAGCTACTGTATTTAATGCTGTTAGATACAAAGGGACTTGAATAAATCAATAAGTTACAAGGTGTCAGTCTCAGATACATTCGTAGATTTTATAGACTTAATTAAAGTACCTTTTATCTATGAATAGGTTGTTAATAGTAGTAGGTATCTACTGGTTTATTATTTTACAGTTTTTAGAATGATTTGCGATATCGTATTTGAATTTTATTTTCAGTCTGCCTTGATTCTACAAATTTAAGTGTTACGGTTATTTAGCATAGGTAGTGACTCTTGTTTTGTTAATTTTTTTATCCACAACGAGGAAGCTCTTGGCCTGTATCTCACCTGATGGTAAGTGATGATCAGGCCGAAGGTGGAAGCGAGCTTCACCCGGAATCCTCAACCACGGAGGAACTGGCTATCTTACCTCTAACTGCCGGAACACAACAATGCTGTTTTTAACATTATGTTAACTTACCAGAATCGTATCCATTTTCATCGACACGCCAGCAATAGCCGGGGTTGACGACGGAGCGCGTGTGGTTGACGGAGTAGCGCCAGCAGAGAGGGCCTGCGCAGCCGCTGCTGCTGCATCGTGACGTCACGATGTCCACGGGGCTCTGGCGGGCACCGCGCGCCTCTGGAAACTTCTCTATCCATGTCGCTGGACCTGCAAAAGAAAATATTTTCAATTTGAACTATTGTCCGTAAACTTTCACGATCAAGCATTTGATGAAGCATTGTTGTAATTGTATATTGTTTCTTCTGGTTTTATTAGAGTTATATTAGACATCTACTCAACAAACAACAACTGGGGCTCTAAACAAGTGGCATTTTTGATCGCTCCGAAAATCGAATCCTTTTACAGAGAGAAGTAACTCCATATAAAAAACGTTTCTTCTTAGGTAAATTGGTCACTCACTAGCATACGACAAAAGGCATAGTATCGATTCGGACTAGTGATCACTAAAATCAGCGAAGCCATTTCCTTAGATTAGACAATCCTATACAATTTTACAATGACATACCGTGGACAGACAACAATCAACAAAATAGGTACTGACTCTACATTCATTCAAACACATGCATTAGTTTGTTTTTACGCAACAATGGGGGCAATTTTATTTTAAACTAGAATTATAGAGTTATTTCTACGAGTAAATACAAGTAAACTGATAGACTTTGAGTGGGCTCAAAAAATAAATATACCGACCCATAACAAACCGTAAGATATCCAGTAGAACGATGTAAACAATGTCAGTAAATTTTACCACGTGAATAATTTACTTGAGTGATAAAAAGTACTATCTCAAGGTTAGAATGTGGGCCTTTTTTCACCACGTGTTTTTATTTAGATAAATATGAATAGGTTCTGTGCCTATTGTTACTATTTGATGAGATAAGTAGCCTACAATGTAAAGGGCGAGTCTATGGAAATACGCGCCAACTTAGATAAGGCATAAGGCACCTAATCGTAGAGGTTATTATGAATTCGTACCTACAATGTAAGGTAATTTTCTTAGTTGATGATTCATTAAAAAAATGTTATTCATGCGTATAATAATATTTTTTCAGGACAATTTCTAAATGTTTGTAAATGTCATTCATTATAATCTTATCAGCTGCCTCTACCGCTTGATGGACAATATTTTAAGACAACAAATCTGTGGATACTTTTGAAGTTTCCGGAAAATTGTTTGGCCTTGTTATAGTTACTACTTAATTAAGCATGTTCTTAAAATTTTCTCTATTCAACAGGGATTTTTAGAAAAATCGAAGTAGCTGTACAAATAATTACATAAACCGTATACCTAAAATATTTACATAAATTAAACACTATGTTGTTTTCAATTAAAAGTGGTCCAACAAATGACGGGACCATGCATACTTTTGGTACAGTTAAGGCGGTTGAAAGTGAAACCACTCAGTATAAAAAAGCGGCTCGAGCAATAACTACGACTATTCATAAAGAACAGTTGACATGTTTACAGTCATAGTAATCATAAATCCATAAGATATGCTTCATTGTCTGCCATCAGTACATTAATTAATGCACAATATGATTGTATGAAACTGTATGTAAGGATTTGCGTGCTAGTGCGAAAAACCGGTCTTAGTCCAACCTTGATCATCTTCAAATGTAAGGTATAATAATGGTCAGGGATCCTTCAGACATATCTGTAAGATAGATGCGTCCTCTTGGATATAGATTTTAGTTTAAGGAGTTGTAAGTTAAACAGTACCTCTAGTACGAAATACTTTCGAGTTCGTTTCGTTGCGTATTCAAAGTGTCATCGAAAAATTTTGTATGAAAAATTAAACAGCGCCCCCTAGGGCGGCTATAATATAGGGGGCGCTGTTTAATTTTTCATGGAAAGTTTTTCCTACTAGAGGTACAGAGTTGAAAAGTAGAGTCGACACCTCGTCAGTCGGATGGGCTCATTTGCATAAAGTGGCCGCGATTTTGTCATACTCATGATTATTTATACAGCAGTGAAACAATGGAACGACTTGTTGTGGATGTTGCTCTGAAACGGACCGCTTAAAGTAATTACGATAAATCCACAGTACGGTTGTTACAAAGCCGCTACAAAAGTATTACAAAAACTTGCCTTTGCCTGCGGCTCCGCCCGGGTGGATTTGGATTTATTATCCCTCAAAAATACTCTTTTTCAGGAAAATAATGCTTTTCAGCTTCAATGCTTCGTTTTCAGAAGTTATGTAGAAACATAACATACGAGTAAACTTAACAGTAATGTCTGGATAGCTGTCTATGTTCTTATTTCAGTATATTTAAATATTTTTAAAAATCCCATTCCTATCGAACCTTCTAAGTCCTAAACGGTTTTCTTGAGTGCTGTTGTTTAGCTTAATTGTTTATTTAAGCTTTAACAAAAAAAAAATGCATTTCAGGCTATTTCAGGTCAAAATAGCGAAGTTAGACGTAAAACTTTAAAGAGCTCTTTTGATGTCGGCGCTTTTAACCTGCGGCGCTTGTTTAGCGTTCATTATTGTGTAAGNTATGATACCCACAACAAACCGTATATCCAGTAGAACGATGTAAACAATGTCAGTAAAATTTTACCACGTGAACAAATTACTTGAGTGATAAAAAGTACTATCTCAAGGTTAGAATGTGGGCCTTTTTTTCACCACGTGTTTTTATTTAGATAAATATGAATAGGTTCTGTGCCTATTGTTATTATTTGAGATAAGTAGCCTACAATGTATAGGGTGTCTATGGAAATACGCGATAACTTATAATATTAATAAGACCCCTAATCGTAGAGGTTCTTTTAAATTCGTACAATGTAAGGTAATTTTCTCAGTTGATTAATTTATTAGAAAATGTTATTCATGCGTATAACAATATTTTTTCAGGACAATTTCCAAATGTTTGTTAATGTCATTCATTATAATCTTATCAGCTGGATCTCAAAATGAACATGGACAAAACAAAAATCATGTCTAATAACCGTGTCGCACCCACTCCTTTGAAGGTTGGAGACTCTACACTCGAAGCTGTTGACAATTATGTATACCTGGGACAAACAGTCCAGTTAGGTAGGGCCAACTTCGAGAAAGAGGTCAATCGTCGAATCCAACTCGGCTGGGCAGCGTTCGGGAAGCTACGCAATATACTCACGTCCGAAATACCGCAGTGTCTCAAGACAAAAGTCTTCGAGCAGTGTGTGCTGCCAGTGTTGATTTATGGATCCGAAACGTGGACGCTTACTATGGGCCTCATAAGAAGGCTCAAGGTCACCCAAAGGGCGATGGAGCGGGCCATGCTTGGAGTTTCCCTGCGTGATCGAATCAGAAATGAGGAGATCCGCAGGAGAACCAAAGTGACCGACATAGCTCGCAGAATTGCTAAAACCAAGTGGCAGTGGGCGGGGCACATAGCTCGTAGAGACGATGGCCGTTGGGGCAGAAAAGTTCTCGAGTGGCGACCACGGGCTGGAAGACGTAGCGTGGGCAGGCCTCCTACTAGGTGGACCGACGATCTCGTAAAGGTCGCGGGAAGAGCCTGGATGCGGGCAGCGCAGGACCGTGCATTGTGGAAAGCCTTGGAGGAGGCCTTTGTCCAGCAGTGGACGTCATTTGGCTGAAACGAACGAACGAACGAACAGCTGGATCTACCGCTTGATGGACAATATTTTTAAGACGACAAATCTGTGGATATTTTTGAAGTTTCCGGAAAATTGTTAATTAATCATGTTCTTAGAATTTTCTCTATTCAACAGGGATTTTTAGAAAAATCGAAGTAGCTGTACAAATCATTACATAAACCGTAAACCTAAAGCATTTACATAAATTAAACACTATGTTGTTTTCAATTAAAAGACGGGACGGCCCAACAAATGACGGGACGACGCGTAGGTACTTTTGGTACAGTTAAGGCTGTGGAAAGTGAAACCACTCAGTATAAAAAAGCGGCACGAGCAATACCTACGACTAAACAGTTGACATGTTTACAGTCATAGTAATCATAATCCATAAGAGATGCTTCATTGTCTGCCATCAGTAGGTACATTAATTAATGCACAATATGTATGAAACTGTATGTAACTAGGGTTTCTGATTTCTCGACCTATTTTTTTTCTCGAGTTTCGGGAATTCTCGAGGCCAAAGTCTCGAGTTTTCTCGGGTCTCGAGTCTTTTAATTAAAACTGTTGAAATCGGTTGAAATTTAATAAAAACACAGGTTTTTTAATCTAATACACCTACTTGAATGCACAACAATCAATATTAGAATTTAGTATCACTTAGTAAGTAAGGAAACAAACAAAAAATTAAATCTTCTTTCATAATTAATATTAACTAATAATCTTATCTTAGTTATTAACTAAAGGAACAAAAGTCATAAAGTCGCGTGTACTTTAAGGATAAATAATAATAAAAAATCTGGAGCTACAATTTATTGAATCACTTGTTTTCCAAAAAACACAAGTCCGCAAACAATAGCAAAATTACGACAAATAGTTTTTTTTCTTAAAAAAAATTTAATACATTTTTGAATTTCTTAAGGATAACGATTTGAATAAACTTTAGTACCTAACCTAACAGACAGTTAACAAATTTTTCGGTCTTTAAATCAGTCATAGTTAAACATAGGCATAATAAATAGGTATAGCATACTCGTAGGTAAACATTATTACTTAGTTTCGATTGAGATCATTACTTGCAAATCAAATCAGTTAAAAAAGGATTGACTAGGCCAGTCTAAAAGCAACGTTAACCTATTAAATAATCAAAAACTTACTTTTGTCTAAGAAAACAGGCTTTCAATAGTATTAAAGCTTCAAAATCGAAACTCGAGAATTCTCGAGCTCCGGCAATTTTTTTCTCGTCTCGAATGATGCCAAATTTCTCGAGTTTTCTCGAGTTCGAGAAGGCTCGAGCAGAAACCCTAATTGTGACGTCACATGCTAGTATTGCCGTACAAAATCTATGGGAGAGTGTCGTTTTGACAGTTTTAAAAAGTACGTCAATTGATTGGTGGTGTCAAATACCCTATTCCAATTGACGGAAACGATTGTCAATCGCTCAGCTAAACGATCAATAATAGCTTCAATGGCACCTGTCAATTGAGCTTCAATTGAAATTATCATCAATTTGCTTCAATCACGTAAATTCAATTGACAATCTCTTCAATGCCTTTTGTAA